CAAACAATCCCATGGTTTTTAGTTTCTTTTGAAAATGTCAGTGTAAATGTTTTATCCCATGATTTAGAACAAGATTTTGAACCGAACCAAAAACTGAAGATTAATGACCACGTTACTGGTCCCGACATTTCCGGTGAATATTTTTTTTTACCTCCCTTGGAAATGTTAAACTGATTTGAACTGCAACTTCTTAAATTCATCGTGTTGAGTTTCATTATTTATTTGTACCATATTTGACTATGGTCAAGCAAAGATGTTACACGTCGTTACTTGTAGAGCATACTTATTTAATTTAGGCTACGTCCATGAAAATATTATTATTAGGTACTATATCATGTTTCCGCCAACTGCGTGTTGCACTGTCACTTTTCTAGCACTAACGGGACAGTACACAGTTATGGTAAGCAGTGTATTTTCTATTATCACTCGTCAGTCATGTTTTTATATTATCTTTTTGGTACATTCTGAGTCAGTTCAGTTGCTGTCTTCTGGCAAATTGTCTAAATTTATTGTTGATTTTCTTTTTGTTTGTCACAGAATAGTTTTTTCTTGTTAGTTTCTAGCGATTATTTAAAGGACATTGTGGTTGATATATGTGCTTTTAGATGCCTTTGGCTGCGATAAAATTCTAATATCGCAGTCTCTTTCGAAAATTTCTAATTCAGACGTTATTAACATAGGATGCTGGTTGCTGTGAACGTGAAATGTATAAGAAACTGTGTTTTTTTGATTTTCTTCAGTTCATTAGAAATGTTACATGATGTATAGTATACAAAAAATTGATAGTGATTTTGATGAATCTTTGTAACTGAAATAAGAACGGGAAATTGCACTTAAGCTAGGATCACGGTCACGAACTGGAATATCCTCTCTCTGCACTTTACTGCCATAGAGTGACTCATTGGGTATTGTTCCAAGGATTTCGCTCTAGGAAAGTGATTTTTTCCTCAGATACTGCGAATGTTTCGAAGTCGACAATGGAAGTAAATGGTAAAACGACATCAATCATGATAAGTACGACATTCGTTCCATGTAGATTTAATGTACCCTTAGCAGCACACGAACCTTCAATTTAAATTGGGACTTGTTAGCTGAATATTTTTGAGACATGAGGCACAACGTTTCAATGATGACTGATTCTTCATCACTTTGAACTAAGCACTTTGAGGAATTTCTGGTAGTTCTTTGATTTGTGCACTGCTCTGCTTGTAACAGAAATGCATGCTCCGATTTTCAAATATTTTCTTACGTGAATAGATATTATTCAAAAAGATTCCATTTAGTTTCAAAAACTGTTGAAAATCGCTTTATAGGGCATTTGCATGAGATGCCAGATGATTTCGGTTATCTCGCATATTTTGCAGCATGTTTTGGCTTCATTCAATGCCTAGGAAGTCCAAAGAGTGAAAAGTCTGTTGCGATTGTAGGAGCGTAAGTTTTGTCATTCATTGGAAAAGAATGGTGTTTTTCCAAATTATATTCTGGATATGTTTACACAACTTTTTCTGATGCTAAGTTCCGGATAGAAGGCACAAGCCAATAACCAAAAGTTTACTGGGATTGAACACTTATTTACCTTACCTTTACGATTTACATTTTTTCGTTTACTGGAACAAAATCCTAATTTCACATGAGTGATTGATCCTTTGCGTAGTGCGATTCATATTATCCGTTAACTTATGTATGAGTCTCACGCCCATCAAGAGAAATTTTTGAGAATTATTTGGAATTTTTACAATGCTGTTATTCGTACAAATTGGTATTGGTGCTTATTTCAGAGTATCACCACTGGGTGGTGATTTCGCAAATCCAGTCACCACAGCAACATTTAGTATCGTTCTTTTGGAACCTTGACAACAAAAAATTGCTCAGCGGAAACACTTTCCTTTAATTACCTAGCTCATCTCCTACAGTTTAGTGCTACTGTTTGTTTAATTCCAACATTTTTACATTTGTTGAATCCATCTCACAGTCAAATCATATATGATTATTCATCTTGATGAATACATTTTATTCTTTCGGAAATTTATATAACTTTTGTTTTGAAATGTGCGAATTTCTCTATTGTCATAAACGACTGAAACTGTGGATAGGGAATTCGTTATCATGTGATAAATTGGAATGTCGTGTTGCTTCCGCGATGCTATAATCTTGTGTTGGCCGTTGTTGTTGTTGTCGATGCTGTTTGCACAAATGTGCAACTATCGAAGGACATATACACTGAAGTTATACTTGTGAGTTAGGACGAGCACTACACTTTGTAAATGATATCATAGATATTAAATCAACCAATGATAGGCAAGAAAAAAGAATAAATTATGTAGTAGAAATAGCAATAACCTGGTCATTATCGTTCACGTATACAACGTATCTATACCACGCGACGTTAAAGGCAAGAGCGAAACCGCAAATAATTGAAGTTAGGGCAAATCCAAGAACAACAGTACTTGTTATGGCAAGAGTGATCCATGGAATCTGTTTCTGTATAGTTTATAAAGGATTTCATATAAGTGAAGCATTCAATTTACATTCAGTTATATTGCACCTTGCTGGTTGCCATAAATTGAGTTGTGGAAAAAATGTGATTTTGTTTACTAATAAGGGAATTCAAGCTTACATGGTATATGAAGAGTATGGAGACGAAGAGAGCATGAGTAATGGCATAAATCATGGCAATGGTTAAGAGCACAGAATTCATGATGATTAAATCCAGACCTTCGAGTTTGATTGATGCTAGTAATAATATAAGCGAAAGTAACCATAGAATGCACATTCCTTTGAAAAAGTCACTATGTTGCATGCTTGTGAAATTCTCTGACCGAAGAATTTAAAGTGGTAAGAAACTTCTACCAGCATAGACGCTTGTTGATATCTGTATCAATTCGGTAAGGTCTAATTGAAGTCCAATTTCACCATTCGTACTATTTCCACTCACGTTTGAAGCAGAACTTCTATTCCAAATGATTTCCTCTGGCAAGTTCATATTTTCGCTTATCTCTGCTACATTCATCTGCAACAATGAGAAAATATATTTGTCGATTTGTAATTGTAGGAACTGATAAAGTTGAGAGCAAGGAGAGACAAGAAAGTGTTACTGGTTAGTAAAGATTATGTTTAGTTGTATTTGAGAAGTACATTAAATCTCCATGATGAAAAGGTTTTGGAATGCGAGCACCTTATCTGCAGAGCTCTCGTTTAAGGGAAAAAAATTGCTGGGATAGCTCGTTGGTATATGCATTGATTTTGGTTTGCTAGGTACATCACAAACCTTTGTTATATTGATGAGAGTCATAGTATATGTTGCTGCAGGTCGTTTTAATTGTTGCTTAATGTTTCTGGATATTGTTATACTGTTGAGATGAAGTATTAGATGTAGTGTGAGAGCTGCACTCATCACTAGACCAATAAGCTGTATGCAAAGACTTGCAATGCCAGTGTGCCGTGCCGGTATCTGACATAAACGGGTCATTGCTAGATTGTTTAGTGGCATATTATTCTCGATCAATATTCCTGAATTTCTGAAGTTTCTGGCGTTATGCTCTTCTCTGTTATACAGAGGGCCTGCAAACATGGCAGTGAGAATCGCTGTGGGTCTTTCAGCATGAATCATCATGGAAGTCAAGGTAACAAGTACACATTGCAATCTGTCGAATATGACTAATATGTTAAATGCAGGTCTTTATTTCTGTTCACTTTATCGAAAAAAGCAACTAAAAAGATGTTTACGCAATTGTGCAACATACCACTTCTGATTGCACATAATCTGCATTTGCTGATGACTTGATTGATGAATTAATATCCATAGCAGCAAAACTCAGTATTCAAAAGAGAAGTTCTTGCAGTTACACTTAAAACTTTGGGGTATTCACTAATAATTCGGAAGGTCAATAAAGAATTTAAGAAAGTGGAAAGTAGATTATATTTGAGAAAGGCACACATTGTTATTGGGAACTTCACTATTATCAGAACAAATTCATATGACAATGAATTCAATTATTCTTCTTATAGTTCCAGTTATAATTTATTTTCTCTTCAATTCTCATGCATTGGCAGCTCTGAAGAGGACTTCATCCAGTTTATGAAAAGTAGCTGAAATTTTCTGTAGTCTTTCAGGAACAGAATGAGTTTTCTTCGTTCTGACTCATCTCGCCGTCTTAACTCTTGCAAAACCGATAAGTCTTTTTTTGGAGAGAGAGTTTCTACGGAATCTCGTATCAAGCATCACTTCAAAAGTCATCACTGGAGCCTGTGGATCATTCTGTTCATAATGTCCTATTAAAAGATCGTATAGGGGATGAAACCGTAATTAATTGTCAAATAGTATATAATAATTACAGAAAGTGTTCGCAGGTTTTCTAATAAAAACGAAAGGAAGTTATTGCATAACCTATAATTAAATGAATTGTGAAAAATTGATGGGGAAAACAGTAAGGTAAAATTTGCAAGAAATAAAATAGCAATAATGAAAAGACAGGAGTAATTCTCCGGATCGAGTTACCCATAGCAACGATTTCTAAGGCAGGGTTACCTCTCTCTGTCCCTCTTTATCTCTTCTTTGACATCAGGTACTTTGCTTTGGTCCTATTTACACTCTTGTTTACGGCCTCCGTAAATCCATTATATGCGTTCGTATGTGATCAACCATACGCAAAATGTTGTGGATTGGTTCATTCATTAAGAGTTTTGAAATGAAAAAGAAAAAATTGTTTTTGCGAATTTGTTTACCGAGTATTAAATATACCCTGAATTTATAGTATATTTCACATTTATTTAAAGTACATTTTTTCCTGCAAGTACACGCGAACGCTTGATGAGTCTTACGAGAAAAATTTTCCAGAATTTGTATCTCTACGAACAAAATGCCGAGAAATTTTACAAGTTTGCTGGTAAATTTTTACTACGACCATGTAGGTTTTCATTGTGATTATTGTTACTGAAATTCGACTGCAAATTGTCAGTAATTCGATTCCTTTTATCAGACTAACATTGGCTTCACTTCAATCATCCTCGAATTAAAGGTTTCAAGAAAAATCATTTCTTTCTGCATTTCCATCCCTGCAAAGGAATGTTTGACAGTAACTTACTGAATTCACAGCATGGAAATAATGTAATACTCGTTCAGGAAGATTCATCGGAAATCGTGTAACCGGTTGGCGAAGCATCTCTAGCAGAATCAGATAAAATTACTCTGGAAGTTGCGAAACTAATTAATGATGACTTCTCGCAGTAAAACGGGTATATCCCTTATGATCGATTTTGTCCGTTCATAAAATTGTTGATATGCTGAAAAACTGAAAAAAAAAAAATTTCCTCAGTTTTTGTCGCTTTCCCCTTTCCAGTATTGCGTTTAGCTTCTTTACAGTAACTGCTTATCCCTAACGAAAATGATGACAACGGTTTTAAATGTAATGTCACATTCAAAGTCAAGTTATTATGCTCAAAGAATGTTCTGATTGTGGCTGTGTAATCTTCAGAATTATACTTTATGACTTGGTTCGGCATTCTGTAGAAGTAACAGCACAAAGCGAAAATAAAATCACCTGGGGAATGATACATGATCACCTTGGCAACATTATATATCAGTTGTCAACTATAAAATTCAAGGTTCACCTTCCTCTGTGTTTACTCCGGAGATAATCCGTGATAGTGCGTTTGCTTCAAATTGCAAACCATTCTTTCCGCTTTGTCCCGATGTTAACATCAGCAACATCCGGTAATCCATGATGAAACAAATTTTTTCGTATCATCCCAAAAAGAGTATTCAGCGGATAAGTCGTTATAGAAATATGAAATAATTCACGCAGGAATATGCTTTGAGAGTTTTTAATATTTCGGTCATACGTAATTGCACCATCTTATTTGTACAAGATGGTAAAGAGAAGACTATAAATTACGGCAAACTTTTGGAGATAGTTTAGGAGTCATTCAGAAATTTAGAGAACTGATTAATTTTCATGATTTTTATATAAATACCGCGCTACTGGAAGAATCACTTGATTTACTCCACTGATCTAGCAGCCAACCCTGCTCGCGTTGTAATGTTTTTGTAATAAAATACATTCCATTAGTATTTCATATGTTGACGTTGTGATAACCTGCAGATTCGTAGTTTTTGCAGTACCACTTGTCAACTGACGTTATTGTTAGTAATATATGCTATTATTCACTTTGTTGTCATTTCGAGATTGCAAAGTGCTTACATAGTTAGTGAAAAAAAAAACTGCTTGCAAGCAGTTATGGAGAGATGCGTGGTCAGTTCTAATCAGAAAACATGATGTATACCTAAAAAAAATGGTCGCAAGAGCCGATTGGTTTAGTTGTTGCTGTCGGAAAACCGAGAGAATTTATTATACATTAAATGCTTAGAATATTTCTAATGATTCATCACTGCATTTATTCACTAATTTACATTCTTTAAAATTATCTCCCATACGTTTCTTTTGTTATCTTTGTCTAACAAAAATTCACATCCTTATTTTAATGACAAAGGATGTCCTAATTTTCCATGCTAATCTTCCTACCTAATCTTGTTATAATGCTTGTACCATTTCCGATGTGTTTCTGGTGCTTGAACGTTTACTGTAAACCATTCCTACTTTTTAAGACATATAAACCCTCTTTGTAACAAAACGAGGGTACCTTTTGGACTGCTGCTCTTCCATAGTTCTTTACTTACGATTGCGTTTGACTCATGGTCAAGTGATTTCCTACTCGTTACTCTTCAATAATCCCACTGGTCAGCTCTGTATTATATCAATAAAGCAGTAATTTTTACTCTGTATCCTCACAACGTATATTCGACGTCTTCACAAGGTAACCCTTTAATTAAATTTTTGCTTGATCCTAACTCAAGGCTAAACCTTCTAAATCTAAACGACTCGATAAAAGAAAAAAAATTTTTCACAACAGTTGCTGGATTGATTGCAGTAGTATATCCCATATAGGCCTTTTCAAGATTTTGTAAAGCTGCGATACTTGGAGTTTTTCTGTTACTTAACCGCTAAATTTTGCATTCTGTTTGCTATATTGTTAAAACAAACATCCGAATGATTGTACTGTATTATGGAAAGTCCATTCTTCCGCCTTGTGCAATCCTGATATCCTGGCAATGCAAGTGCTTAGTTATATTGTTTTTAACTATCATTGACACTTGGGATCATGATTTGGATACATTACTGTGATTATTTTTGATTGATTGAAAGTACCTGAGGTAGATTTTACAACGAACGGTATTTATGAATGTATGTACCATGTATGAATGCAGATCTAGCATGTCGAGGTAGTCCAACTGTAGGTCTACAAATGTTTCACGCTGCTGTGGATTTAATTTTATCTCTTACTTTTGCTATATACCGAACACTAACACTTCCAATGAATATTCCTCAAGAATTCGTCTCTGTCAATCCATCAATTAGCTGTGGACATTATCCAAATCTGAAAAAAGCCACCTCTGTACTACAAATACGTCTGTACCCTGCGATCCACTTTATACATGCTGCAAAATATTCTAGTTGGTAAGTATGTTAATCCATAACATACAAATCCTTCAATTAATTTTGTAAATTGTCAAATGACTGACGTAGGAAGAAAATCAAGCGGTTTTACCATAACTAATTCTGGATTTCTGTACGGGAAAGACGTGAATCATCGAATACTTGAATCGGATCAACTTTTTTATTTGCTGCTTACCACACTTACTGTATTTACTGATTCAAAAATTTGTCGCCTCAGAGCTGAATTTATGATGCTACATCCTATTTCAAAAAATGCTAGTTTATTTCCAAGATGATTTTTTATTGGACCTCAGATCATCTGATAATCAAAATATTTTTTGTTAGTTTTTTTTTTCAAGCATATCAAGTAGTTATATAACTGGAGAGTAGAGCACCAAAAATGGAAATTCAATGGAAGATTATCTGTCATTCCCAAGGCGCTGTATTAAATTATTTTTCCTACTGAGAATGAGGTAGGAACATCGGTAGCAATCAGTATCATAGGTCAGTCTTCTGGAAGAGTGAATAGAAAAAAAGTCCATTGAGAAAATTATGTTTGTAAACAGTTTCGAAATTGAGTTCCTTATAGAAAAATACCTTCTAGACAAGCAGCGTACCGTTCAGAGAAGTTAACAGATCCATTATGGGAAGAGTAACCTGTGAAAATCGAACTTTTAAATATGGAAAGGATACAGAACGAAGTTGGTGATATGGTTTAAGGACAATTTTTTCTGTTTCGGGTATGCTATCATCTGTCTTTTTGAACGTGTTTTCAATGGTTCAGTTTCTAGTATCTGAAATAGAGTTGCTTTGCATAATTCCGGTTTATTTTCTGTCCGAGTCGTGAAATTTTTCATCTGTGAAGGATTCTCTGTTAATATTGTCATATTGTCATTTATTACCGTAATGTAATTTTAAGCCATTGTTGATGTAATAGAGCCGGATTTAATTACTTTACTAAATGAAAAATGAAAACATTAACAGAGAATTCCTTTATGGAATTGATGAAGAATGTTGCACGATAAATAGGTATGAATGACAAAAATTTATGTAATCATTATTCCATATATTATC